CCATCCACATGCTTGCAAAAGGCAAGACTTCATTCTTTTTTGTGGCTGAGTAATATTCCACTGTGTGTGTGTGCATGTGTGTGTGTGTGTCACATCTTCATTATCCATCTAGGGAGACCCTTGGGTTACCTCTGTATTTTGGATATTGTAAATAATGCTGCAGTAGAGATAGGGGTGTAGATATCTTTATCACTAGTGTTTTTATTTTCTTTGGGTAAATACCCAGTAGTGGAATTATTGGATCATATGGTAATTCTGTTTTTAATTTTTGAGGAACCTCCTTACTGTTTTCCAGAGTGGCTGCACCAGTTTGCATTCCCATCAACAGTGCGAGAGGGTTCACCTTTCGCTGCATCCTCACCAACACCTGTTGTCTCCTGTGTTGTTAATTTTAGCCTTTCAGACCGGTGTGAGGTGATATCTCAATGTGGTTTTCATTTGTATTTCCCTGATGATGAGTGATGTTGAGATCTTTTCATGTGTCTTTTGGCCACATGGATGTCTTCTTTGGGAAAAGGCCTATTCAGATCCTCTGCCCATTTTTTAATTGGATTGTTTATTTGTTTTGGTGATGAATTGTATAAGTTCTTTATATATTTTGGTTATTAACCTCTCATCAGATGTATCATTCGCAAATAACTTTTCCCATTCAGTAGATTGCCTTTTTGTTTTGTCAGTGATTTCCTTCGCTGTGCAGAAGCTTTTTATTTTGATGTAGTCCCAACAGTTTGTTTTCACTTTTCTTTCCATTGCCTAAAGAGACATATCCATAAATATGTTACCAAGGCGGATGTCAAGGCAATTTCACTGTATATGTTTTCTTTTAGGAGTTTTGTGGATTCAAGTCTCACATTTAATCCATTAATCCATTTAGAGCTAATTTTTGTGTATGGTGTAAGAAAGAGTCCTGTTTCATTCTTTTGCATGTGGCTGTCTAGTTTTCACACCACCATTTGTTGAAGAGACTGTCCTTTCCCTGTTGTATTTCTTGCCTCCTCCGTCATAGATTAATTGACAGTGTAAGTGTGGGTGTATTTCTGGGCTCTCTGTTGTATTCCTTTGATCGGTGTGTCTGCTTTTGTGTCAGTACTGTGTACTGTTATGATGACTACA